AAAGGCCCCCAACCCCCCGTGACCGGCGTTTGTTTCGCCGGCCTTGGACGTTTACTGTACCGTCCCAGCCTGACTCGATTCCTTAGCTTGAGAGCCTCGCTTGATGGTGGTTCTTCTGCCCTCTCAGACAGACGCAGGCCCTCGAGAACTTCGAGTTCCCCGTGGTGTCGATGTTCCAGCGGTGGATGTCCGCGCCTCTCAGATCCGGCGGGCGGTTGGGCCACCCAGGCTGGCAGGCGGCACGAGAAGAATCGAGGCGGCCTCTCTCCCTCCATGTTTATTGGCCTCTGCGAGGTCTCATTGGGTCCATGGGACCGTCAATCGAAAAGAACACTTACGTAAACTGAAATGTTCAGAGTTCGGCGCGGGTTTCTTGGATTTACGTTGGGACCCATTTGGCGGCTCCTTCGGCGCCGCCCCTGGTGCGCTCCGCGCGCCGGGGAGGGGGGTCCAGCGGCGATCCAAGAAATCCGCGCGGACCTCCGCAAGACTATGTGTATGTTGTTTTTTCTTATCCTACAGCAAGCCCCTGGCCGAAAAATCCCCTCCCCCAGCCGAATTGGGGTCGAGAGATCGGGTGTCTCGCGCCCCAGCACAATCGGGACGTTCGACATCTTGCGGGGGCAAACGAGGGGGGAGGAGGAGGGAGGAGGACGGAGGGAGAGAAGGACCCCTTCCTCCACACCGCTGGAGGGGGGAGGAAGGAGGAAGCAGAGCATCGAGCATTCTGTTCCGAAACCTTCGGGAACATTGGAAGATTCCAAAAGATTTCCGAACAAAGCCCAGGAGGAAGAGGGGGACGTTGACGAAGAGGAAAATGACGAAGCGCCTCCAGACCGAAGCCCTTTTTCCTCAGAACCTGTTTTGCAATGATGAAGTATGCTTCCAATACGCGCGCACAAACACGGTGCGTTTCAGAGGTCGCGCGGAGAAAATGGTTGGGCGACTTTGGTTTTGTTTGGGCCTCCTGGGGCATCCTCGTCACCACGGTTGGGTTCTAGAACCAACCTCCAGTTAGGCACGGGGGGATGGGGGGGGAAGCTGGTGATGCGAATATGAAGCCGCCCTCCTTCCTATCTGCCTACTTCTCATTCTGCCCTTCTTCTCCTTATGCTCCTCTTGCTCGTCATCCGCCCCCCATACATGTGCCGCCTAGGCGGTGTTCGTCGTCATCTTGGCCAACGGCGCACTTTCGGTTTGCGATGGCTTCGCGTCGGATGTAGCAACTCGCGCAGCTTCGCCTCGCACGCACGAGGCGGAATCGAAATCACTGCCCTTCAGGTCTCAAACCCCACCTTCAGCTGGTCGTACTATATTAATTAACTGCCTACTTGGCGCTATTGCTGTCTGGTGCGTACATGTGTGCATGGGCATACACAGATCATTCACTCGCGCAATGGAGTAACCATGGGGCCACCACGAGACACGGGGACAGTGGCGTGATTTTATGTCACTACCTTTCTGTAGTGACAGAATCCCTCTCGCATTCCTGCCGCCCGACGAACGCGCGACACGAATCGAAACCGATGTTTTTCATTGTGATTTCCCCGCTTGTGCCCCGTCGGGTGATATGGGGTTTTGGTTCTGGAGTGAGTGCATTCGGCGGGGTTTTGCCATTGTCGTCGGGTCGGGTCCAGACGTTCTGGTTTATCGACGACGCCCACGGCGAAAATCCGCCGCCCCCTGCCCTTGTGGAAGCGCCAATGTTGCCGAAAGCTGGGCTAGAGCTTGGCCAAAGTATCGGGCCAGTTGTTCCCTGAACCGGTTTGAAAAACCTTCGGGGGACGCGTGGGGGAAGCAAGAGGTTTGAAAGCGCCCATGTGTCCGAGCGTCGTGGCAAGAGCTCAGCCAAGCTATTGGGCCACGTGTTCCCCCAATCGTTGTGAAAAAAACCCTTCGAGGAACATTTGGGGGGATGCTAGCGGGGGGGAGGAAATATCAGGTGGAGTGTAGGAAAGGAGGAGGAGGAGAGTGAGGATAGGAGGAGGGAGGAGGAATGAAGAAGAACTAAGGAGGAGTAGGAGGAGAAAGCAGAAAATATGATGAGAGGAGAGGGTTGAGTGAGTGAGGAGGAGGGAGGAGAGGAAGGCAGGAGGAGGAGGAGGAGAAGAAGAACAAGGAGGAGGAGGAGGAGCAGAAATATGATGAGAGGAGGAGGAGGAGGAGGAGGAGGAGGAGGAGGAGGAGGAGGAGGAGGAGGAGCAGAAGAAGAAGAAGGAGGAGGAGGAGGAGGAGGAGGAGGACGGGGCATCCTGGGAGCCTGTGGCGGCACTTTGGGGGCCTCCTGGGAGCTTCCTGGGGGCCTCTTGGAGGCATCTTGGGAACCCCCTTGGGCCTCTTAGGGGGCCTTTGGGGGTCTTTTCGGTGGCCTCTTTGGCCGTCTCAGGGCATTCCTGCCCCGTCCGATTGCGTCGGGAACCGTCTTGGGAGCCTCTTTGGGCCGACTTGGAACTTCTTTTGGGGTGCTCCAGGGCCGTTTTGGAGGCCGTCTTGGGCGTCTTAGAAGCCCCCTGGGCCGTCTGGGGGCCTCTTGGGCCTTTCTGGCGCCGTCCTGGAGGCCTCTTGTGTGATCTTTGGGAGCTCTTGGGCCGTCTCGGGCCGTCGGAAGGCCGAAAAGAAACACATGCGATTTTAAAACATGATTTGGGCATATTCGGGCCTTCCTGGGGGCCCTCTTGGAGGCCTCTTGGGCCGTCTTGGAAGCCTCTCGGGGTCCTCTTGGGGCGTCTTGGGCCATCTTATAGCCATCTTGGGCCGTCTCGGTGGGCTCCTGGCCCGTCTGACGCCGTCGGAAGCTGCCTTGGGGGCCTCTCTGGGCCGACTGGGGGCCCTCTTAGGGGTGTTCCAGCAAATGCCCAAATCCGTCGAAAGCCAAAGGAAACTCAATGATGTGGTTGTCTTCGGGCCTTCCTGGAGGCTCTCTTGGAGGCCTCTTGGGCCGTCTTCGAGGCCTCATGAGAGCCTCTACGGCCGTCGTGGGCCATCTTGAAGCTATCTTAGACCGTCTTGGGCGCATCTTGGGCTGTCTTGGAGGCATCTTGGGGTCATCTTGGCCGTCTTCGAGGGCATCTTGGCCGTCCTGGAGGCATCTTGGAGGCCATCTTGGGCCATCGTGGCCGTCTTCGGGGATTTTGTTCGGCAAGTTGGGCGCCTTCCGGGTGGCCCGCGGGATTGGCCGAAGCCCCAGGGGAGAGTTTTTTTCTTGAAAAAGAACCAAACCCAAAACCGAAAGGACCCAGCATGGCAGGCACCCTTAACCGTAGCCATTTTGGCTCAAGTTTGGCCCAGGTTTGGCGCGAGTTCTGTTTTTGTTGCCCCTCCCTGTTCACCAGGACCGATCATCTTGTCACCACCCGCTCCAGACTCGCGCCGCGTCGGGCCCGATGCCGGCCCTGTCCCCGTCGGGGCTTCTTGTCATCTCGTACGTGCTCAGGCCGATTTTCGGTGCGCCCGTGTTGGTCACTTTCGTTGACTCGTCCAAGGTGAGGATGTCTCAAGGCCTGGCCAGGGAGTCCCCTAATGTCCTCCCTCTCTCTCTCTCTCTCCATTTCTGTCCTCTGGTTTTCCGCCGCACGCTACTGCTTAGTTTCACTAGATGTCCTCGAGATGGAGCAATCTCGAGCCGACAGGGGAAGGAAAGGTGTGAGGACACCCCTGCTAAACCTACGAGAAAGTTTGACCAGTGTGGATACTGGCCTCCCGTACCGTTCTAGGTTTAGCATTTGTAGTGTCCTCGCAAGGGCCCCTCGAGGTCTCGTGGGGGCCCAACGGGATTTGCGATCCGGATTCCTGTTTGGGCTCAAGTGGAAAGAGCATTCGCTGCCGCTCCTGCTGCCACAGGACGTCAATACCGGATGGGCTGGGATTGGTCTGACGCGTCAGGTTTTGTTTGGACATTACACGTCCTCCCCCTACCCCACCTCCCCCCTTCATCCTTCTCCGCTTTCTCCTCCTCCTCCTTCTCCTCCTCCTCTTCCTCCTCCTTACCCTCCTCCTGCTCCTCCCTCTCCCTTTCGTTCTCACCATCCCCCTCTTCCTCCCCCTCCCACTTCTTCTCTTCCTCCTCCTCCTCCTCCTCCTCCTTTCCTCCTATCCCTCCTCATTCCTCCTCCTCCAACTCCGCCTCCTCCTACTCCTCCTCCTCCTCCTCCTCCCTCTCCTCCTCCTCCTCCTCCTCCTCCTCCTGCTCCTCCTGTGTGTCTCTCTCCCCCTCCTCCGCCTCAGCCTCTTGGTCCGCCCATGGATCATCCACCTCATCGTTCTCCTCCGCCTCTCCCCCCCCTCCCCCCCGAACGGGCGGTCCCCGTGGGAGCGCGGGAGCGCGAGCCTGAACAGGAGGGCGAGGGGAAGGAGGAGCGAGGAGGGAGGAGGGAGGAGGGAGGAGGAACAGGAGCATGGAGCAGGAGGAGGAGGAGGAGGAGGAGGAGGAGGAGGAGGAGGGCCAGAGGAACCCCGGGATGCGCCGACGATGCTGCCACACGTCCACCCGTCTCGGGGCCCCCACGTCAACCGGATCTCATTGCGGAAGGTGCCCCCCCATTGAAAGGCGAGCAATGCACGGCCTTGCCATTCAAAGGAGAGACCCGTTCTGAAACGTTGTTGCCGTCGCTGCTTTTCGTCGTACGGGCGGCGGGGGTGTAGCGCCACAGTGTCCACAGAAGTGTTCAGCAACAGCCCCGTCATGGAAATGAGCCGCCCTCAAGCCGTGCGCTTGCTATGCACAGGTGTACGCGTACGGCCGCTCCATGTTGAACAAGGAGCCGCCCTCCATCCGTGGCACCGCCGGATTATTCAGACGAGTGTGCGCGGCGCTGGGGCGAGAGTTACATTTTGAAAACCCTCCTTCGTCCGCGTAATTGTTGGAAGGTGGTGGGGCCAATCTGTGCGGTGCCTAGGCGAGAACCGCATTCTGAAAAGGAACCCCATTCCATCCGTGCACCTGAGTGGCACGTATTTAGGAATGAACCACGTACCGCTGCGCTTTGGAATGAACCACGTATCGAAGACTGACCTCTCCCAACCCGTGTACATGTTGGAACCGTTTGAGAACCATAAACAAATACAACCATTCATGTACTTGCTGGAAGCGTTTGGGACGAATCCGCGCGGCTAAGCCACAGCCACATTTTGAAAACGCCCCCCCTTCATCCGTGCAGCTGTCGAAAACGTGTAAGACGAATTCGGGCGGAGCCCAGGCGAGAGCCAAACTTAACACGTACGACCTCCCATCCCTGTAATTGTCGGAAGCGTCTACGGCGAGTGCACGCGGGGCTTTTAGGCCACAGCTACATCTTGAAAACGGCCCCCCTCCACCCGGGGCAATTGTCGGAAGCGGGTAGGGCGAGTGCGCGTGGCGCTGAGGCGAGGGCCATATCTTGAATCCACCCCCCACTCAGAGTAATTCGCACATCTTCCTCGCTCGCTCGACCCTGGGAGTGCTTGTCGCCACCGTCGCAGCCGAGGAGGCGAACAGGGGGGCTCGGGCGATCACACGCCTGCGGAGGAGGTTCCGGATCGGGGGTGGACAGAACCCCCAACAGTGACACGTCGATTAGTGAATTGTCCGTTTTCGGTTCTCGAGAGGGCGCCGTGGCCGTTATTTTCCAGGCTTGCGCCCGCCAGGTTTGGGCCTCAGGTCGTTTTCACTAAACCACGTTTTACTAAAGGGGGGTCTGTCCATCCCCGACCGGAGGCCGCCGGTGCGACCGAGGGCGAAGCCAAAGTGGCCTTAGGCGTATGGGCGAAGCCAAAATGACCGAGGGCGAAGCCAAAATGGCCAAAATTGGTGGACGCGTTTGGGACGAAGGTGCGCGGCGCTGGGGCGAGAGCCACATTCTGAGACCGACGACGGCGGCGGCAGCGGCGACGGCGACGGCGACCCCGACGGCGACCGCGGCCCCGAGGAGGACGGCGGCTGACGGCGTCGGCGGCGACGGTGCCGAGCGGCGGCGCCGAGGTTCCAGCAGGAGCGGGGCACGGACGTGGTCCCCTGGGCCATCCTGGTCGTCGGCTGGCGCGAGGCCCAGCCGTGCATCAACCACGTGGAGGCTCCCGGGGCGGGCGGCCAGAGGCTCCTGGAGGCTCCGAGGCTCCGTGGGGCTCGAGGCCCCGAGGGGTTTGAGGCTCCGAGGGGCTCGAGGCTTCGAGGCTCGAGGCTTCGAGTCGCTGGGGGTTTCGAGGCTTCGAGGGTTTCTAGGGCTTCGAGCGCTGTCGTCGGATCTCGGTGGCGTTCCGGCCTCGGGGATGGGTGGCCTGGCAGCATGCGCCTCGCCGAGGGCGCTCCCGGGGGTGCCCGGGATGGTCCCGAAGGGTGGCCCGGAAGTCAGCAGGCGCCGAAGAGGGGGCACGAGAGTCAAGCCGGGCATGTCCCTCTACAGGAGGGATATCCAGGAGAAGAGTCGAAACACAGTCTGCGGACGGTGTTTCTACGCTGGTGGCACATGTTTGCAGATTGTTTGACTACTTCTTTCTTTCCTCCAACATCCGCCTGTAGGAGGATCTGCCCGACCTCACACGAGAGCTGCCGCGTGCCACCGGTGCCAGAGGGGGTCCCTCCAGGGATTGGCCGGTCTTCTCTTGGGGGCCGGTCTTGGGGCCATCTTGGCCGTCTTGGATGCACCTTAAATTGGAGGCCATCTTGGGCCGTCTTGGATCCGTCCGGAGCAGGACAAACCCTCTGCAACCCTGGATTGCCAGAGGGGGGCCCCTTTTGGGGGTCGGCCTTGGGATGTCTTGGACGCGTCGGGGGCGCCGCCGCGCCCCTGCGCCCCTCGGGCCGGACGAAAGGGAGGGATTGGGAAAGAGGGGTTACGAAATTCTTCACGCTTCGCGTATCCCCACCAGCCCATCTCAAAACAGCAACTCTTGCGAAGCATGCCGACAGTCGTGTTTTTCAGGCGTGTTTCCGCCTGCCCCCGCATATCTCCCCTGTTCCTCCTTCCTCCCGCCTCCTTGTACATCCTCCTTGTGGTGGGAGCGGGAGAAGGACGAGGCGGAGGAGGAGGGAGAGAAAGCGCTCCTCGTGGTTTGAGTCGTTTGGGGTTCTCGTCCTGGTGTGAGTCGTTCGGGCCCTTCTTCCTGGTGTGAGTCGTTCGGGCTCTTCGTGGTGTGAGTCGTTCGGGCTCTTCGTCCTGGTGTGAGTCGTTCGGGCTTCTCGTGGTGTGAGTTGTTCGGGCCCCTCGTCCTGGTGTGAGTCGTTCGGGCCCCTCCTCCTGGTGTGACTCGTTCGGGCTCCTCGTGGTGTGAGTCGTTCGGGGCCCTCGTCGTGGTGTGAGTCGTTCGGGCTCCTCGTGGTGTGAGTCGTTCGGGCGCCTCGTCCTGGTGTGAGTCGTTCGGGCCCCTCCTTCTGGTGTGAGTCGTTCGGGCTCTTCGTGGTGTGAGTCGTTCGGGCCCCTCGTCCTGGTGTGAGTCGTTCGGGCTCCTCGTAGTAGTAGTAGTAGTAGTAGTAGTAGTAGTAGTAGTAGTAGTAGTAGTAGTAGTAGTAGTAGTAGTTGTTGTAGTTAGTAGTAGTAGTAGTAGTAGTAGTAGTAGTAGTAGTAGTAGTAGTAGTAGTAGTAGTAGTAGTAGTAGTAGTAGTAGTAGTAGTAGTAGTAGTAGATGTCTTTTGGGAGCCTCTTGGAGGCCTTTTGGGGCGTCTTCGGGGCCTCTTGGCGGCCCCAGGGGCTTCTAGGAGCGTCTTGGGTGCCTTGGGGGAGCCTCTTCGGGCCTCTTGGGAGCCTCTTGGAGGCCGTTTGGGGCGTCTTGGGGGCCTCTTGGCGGCCCCAGGGGCTTCCAGGAGCGTCTTCGGTGCCTCGGGGGAGCCTCTTGGGGCCTCTTGGGGGCCTCTTGGGGGCCTCTTGGGGGCCTCTTGGCCTCTTCCGGGGGCCTCTTGGGGCCTCTTGGGAGCGTCTTGGAGGCCTGTTGGGGCCATCTGTCGGGCGATCGATCACAGATGGGGCGAGCATTTTTCTCCCCCCCCCGTCGGGGCCAGAATCCTCGTGAGGTGTCGAATTTTGGCCCTCCCAGGGGTCGGAAAAGGACCCTCCAACCACCCGCGAAACGCCCTCTCCAGGCCCAGGGGGAGGGGGTAGGGGGAGGGGTAAACCCCTCCCCGAAGGGGAAGAAGGGGGGTTGAGAACAGAGAGAGCTCGCTAAACCACTCACGCCCAAAGGGCTGGTGGGATTTGCTGCATGCAGCTGGTTTCGGCCTCGCCGAGGGGCCCATTCCTCGATACATAGCCGCCTCCCGGCGCCGGGAGGCGCCGGGAAAATCAGCTACGTGAGCTGATTCTCAAACCCCCGCTTTGCTATCCCCCCCTTTCGCCCGGCCCGAGCCCCCTCGGCGGCGGCGTTCGAGCGCGGCGCGGAGGCCGTCGCGGCCTCTGGCCAGCACGAGGATCACCGGGGCGGACCCTCGAAGGGAGGGCAGAAGGGACCTCCTCCAGGCGAAGGGCGAGCCGCAGAGACCCGAGGGGGGTGGGGGGAGGAGGAGGAGGAGGAGGAGGAGGAGGAGGAGGAGGAGGAGGAGGAGGAGGAGGAGGAGGAGGAGAGGAGGAGGAGGAGGAGGAGGAGGAGAAAGAGGAGGAGGAGGAGGAGGAGGAGGAGGAGGAGGAGGAGGAGAGAGGAGGAGGAGGAGGTGGAGGAGGGGAGGCAGGAGGAGGAGGAGGAGGAGGAGGAGGAAGGAGGAGGAGGAGGAGGAGGAGGGAGGAGGAGGAGGAGGAGGAGGAGGAGGAGGAGGGGGAGGAGGAGGAGGAGGGGGGGGGAGGAGGAGGGGAGGAGGAGGAGGAGGAGGAGGAGGAGGAGGAGGAGGAGGAGGAGGGGAGGAGGAGGAGGAGGAGGAGGAGGAGGAGGAGGAGGAGGAGGAGGAGGTGGAGGAGGAGGAGGAGGAGGAGGAGGGAGGGAGGAGAGGAGGGGAGGAGGAGGAGAAGGAGGAGGAGGAGGAGGAGGAGGAGGAGGAGCGGACGGGGGGTGAGGCGATCGAGCAGTAGAAGCGTTGCGCCTTGTTTTTGTTCGCCCTCGTCTGCCCCTCGTCCTCTTGCACGCCGGACAGTGTGCCGACCGGTTGAGACCCGACGAGCCCCACGCTGGTGCGGATTGCCTCGATCCGCCTCGCCGCCGACGAGAAGAATGTTTCGCGTGACGCCCTGCTTCGGGTTGGGGGTTCGGGCGCTTTCAGATCGATTCATGGACGGTTTGTTCGCCTCGGGGTGTTTTTTTTTTTCCCCCGGCAGGCTGCGCCGCTTTCAGCGGGCTGGTTTCGCCGACGGAGCTGGTTTCGCCGGGCGGCGAAACCAGCCGTCGGCGAAACCAGCGGTCGCCGCCGCGTCGTCCCCCCTGCCGCCAGGGGCCCTGAGGTAACTGTCCTTGAATTTTAGGCGGGCATGCCTCTCTGGAGGAAGAATCTTCAGAAATCGTAAAGAATCGTTTTGGGGCGATGTGTTGACTAGTTTTGACCGTGTTTGAAGATTGTTGGCTATGTCTTACTTGTCTTCCAAGATCCACCTGTAGGAGGACACGTCCGACCTTCCTAATGAACCCTAAAGCACCGTGACCTCGCGGGAGGGAGTGAAAAACAGCATTGGGGCTTCGACATATAGAGTCCTGTCGAGGTTTTAGACAGTCGAGCCAGGTACACGGTTCTGCAGGGTAGCACTTTGCAAGCTCAGGGCAGTCGTGGCGCCAGCGAGAGGGAAGTTTCGAGGTTCGATGATCGACCTCACACGCTCTCAGTTTTTCTTGCTGGGCAGCCCGGCTGGATGCGCCTCGACATTCTGGCCAGACAGGTCATGGGATGGATTTTTGACCACTTGGCCCAGACCTCCTCGCGTCGAGATCAACCTGCGACGCGAGGCGTTCTGTTATCATCGGGCTACAACAAAATCGGTCAGGATGCAAGGCCAGCCCCGAGGAATGTCAGGAGGGAAACAAACACACAGACACAATTAATCAACGATTCCCCAGAAAATAGGGGAAAATATGGGAAGTGGGGGGGAAGACAAAAACCCAGAACATGTGGGAAAATATGGGGAATCTTTTTATTTGTGTGTATTTCTTTCTGTGTGCTGGGGCCCCTTCAGAATGGGCAGCCAGCCGGGGTGTGCTCGCCTCCGCCGTTCGGGCTTGACGCACGGCGGCAGCATCAGCGGAGTGGCCGAGGACTCATCGCGACCACGGCGAGCATCGGCTAAGCTCAGGGCCCAGACATCCTCAGGAGGGAAAAAAAAACACAGACACAATTAATCGTTCACTCCCCAGAAAAAATGGGAAAAGATGGGAAGTGGGGGGGAAAACAGAAACCCAGAAAATGTAGGAAAATATGGGGAATCCTCTTATTTGTGTGTATTTGTTTGTGTGTCCCAGGGCCCCTTCATAAGCCCAGGGCCTGCCGCGCCGCGCCGCAGCCAAGCCCAGACATCCGGCGTCTCGACCTGTTCCTCTCACCATTCTGGCGCTCCTCGGAAGGCGCGGGCCTCTCAGAGGCACCCCTTCCTCTCGGAAGGCGTTGGCCCTTGTCTGCAGATGTAGGGCCGGCGACTTCTAATGATCAGGAGCGAAAGAAGGACGCACATGTACATGAATCCACGCTGGTTTCGAGAGTACGCATTGCGCAAATGTTCGTACAACGCGGCCGGTCTCGCGGATCGAGGGGCCGTGTTCATGCACATAGCTAGGCGCGTACGTCCTTTGTGGGCTCCCTAAATGAGCAGCCTCCTTCTAAGAAGCAGCCTCCTTCTAAGAAGCCTCCTACGAAGCAGCCTCCTTCTAAGAAGCAGCCTCCTTCCAAGAAGCAGCCTCCTTCTAAGAAGCAGCCTCCTTCTAAGAAGCCTCTTCCCCCTCCGCCTATACCCCAGTGGCGCTTCGAGGCATGGGCGCCCGACCTCTCCACCTGCTTCCCTGTAGGACACGTGCTGTTCATCCCGAGTCGTGTTTCAACGGCCGCGATGCCTCTGTAAGGGCCCCGAGGGGCCTGTCCTTTGCCCATCCTCTGTTGGTCTCTCTCTGTCTCTGTCTTCCTCTCGTTCGCTTGTCCCTTGTCTCACCGTCGTCAATTGTCGTGCATGGCGGCGCCCCGGCGCCCACCTGCAGCGCCCCCGCGGCGCCTCGACTGCAGGCCGATGTCCGATGTCCGAGGGGCCGAAACAATCACGTGTGAATGGCCTCGGCCTCGATTTTGGTCGAGACGCCGGATGTCCGGTGGGAAGGCCTCGAATCGGCACAGGTCTAGTTCTTCGGCGGTCCGCGCGGGTTTCTCGGACTCCGCGGGCGCGCGCGCGCGCGTGCGGCAAGCCCGCGGGGGTCCAGGGCTCGTTTCGAATCCTCCGATTCGATTCGATTCGATTTCGATGGCTTCCGATTCCGACTCGATGCGATTTGGGATTCCGATTTGTGCTCCGATTTCTTATTGGACGCATAGTATAGCCCGCCGATTTCCGCCGATTCGACTTTTCCCGACTCGGCTGCCAGTTTCCGCCGATTCGAGTCCTTTCGATCGCCGATTCGACTCGTCGATTCGGTACTGGGCTCTCCTGCGGCTCGCAGGCGGCGGCGACGGAGAACTTCGCGGGCCTGCGCCAGGACGCGCAGCGCAGCCTGCGGGCCGCCACCGGTGACTGCCGGAGGGCTGCCCAGAGCACTGGACACCGGGTTGCCTCAGTCGCGACCGATCGGCTTTCCAGATCGCAGGGCTGGACCTAAACGCCGTATTGCTGGATTTCGGCGGTGTGTTGTTCTTCAGTGTGGCAGGGAGGCACAGGAAAACAGGTAGAGCAAAGCGAGCATCAAAACGAAACCATAACGAAAAACAGCGTTTGGATCCAGCCCTGCCACATCGGTCGCGACCGATCGCAGCAGCGTCCAGGCAGTGACCGATCTCGCCGGCCTCGCGACGAGAAAAATATTCAGCATCCGATGATCCGGGTGGGGGGCAGGCTCTGCGGCCCAGGCCTCTCCTGAGATCCAGGCGCTGCGGCCCTGCAGATCCGCCCCGTGCCTCGATGTGTTGACGTTTTCTCCGTTGATTCCCGGAGGATCTCTCGCCTCGGGCATTTCGGCAGCTGCGCCTCTCGCCGAGAGTGTTCCCTTGGGGCGCCCGCACCGTCCTGACCGTCCGCCAGAGACCCGAGTTGCACGAGGCGTTTCAAAAAGGGCCTTGCCTTCGAGGACCGAAGGAGTTATCATCGCTTCCTTGGCGGAAGGGCGGCGGAAGGCCAGCGGAAGTAAAGCGAGGCCGCCTCCGCCGGCAGAAGCCAGCGAAGGCTGGCGGAAGGCGGCGGAAGTGAAGAATGCGCCCCCCGAAGAGATGAACACGATTTTGGGTTCAGGGTTTCTTGAATCCGCCATATACCGAAAACGAAGCTTCCGGCACGCCGACCCAGACTTTTGACTTCAGGCGTTGTTTTTTTGTTTGCACACTGGGCGAAAACGCCCGGTTAAATTTTTCAGATGGCCGACCATTACAGATCGATCTGTAATGGTCGACCATCTCAAAGAGTGAGCCGGATCGATCTGTCGTCGTCGGCCATCACTGATCGATCCGGCTCAAAAAATGTTGCCGAACGATTGGGGTTTTTCGGGGGTGGACAGAGCCCCCAACAGTGACACGTCCATTAGTGAATTGTCCATTTTCGGTTCTCGAGAGGGCGCCGTGGCCGTTATGTTCCAAACTTGCGCCCGCCAGGTTTGGGCCTCAGGTCGTTTTCACTAAACCACGCTTTACTAAAGGGGGGTCTCTCTATCCCTGAACAAACATACTAATACTATGTGTGCGCCGCCCCCGAATTGGCGACGCGCGCTCCGAAATATCTTATAGTAAATGCTCCATGGCGTGCGCTTTCTGGCCGTGCCGCTCGGGTAACGATTTACTACAAGATGGATGTACCACATGTTCGGGTCGGACGCACGCCTCCGAGGAGGACCCGTAGTACTGGTATGTCCCTCGGCGTCCCATGCCACGGGGATCTGCAAACCCGTTGCGACTTGAAATGGACCCGTGTGAGCAGAAGCACGTCACCACGATTATCCAGGCAAAGCGCCGGAACATCAGGATTTGGGTTCTTCACTGCGCCTCCTGTAATGTTCCTGCCGCGCCTCCTGCCAAAGTTCGGGAAACCACGCCGCGCGCATGCCACAAATTTCTGGGCTCGCGAGACCTGGAGCGATGAGAACCCAGTGGGCCAGGCCGCTTTTCCCAGGCATCTCGTGGCCCTGCCACACTCCTGTGAACTCGAGAGGCCTGAAATGGTGAGAGTCCGACGGCCGCCCACATTCCTACAATGGCCACGTCAAGTAAGAAACCGGCCTGCCGCCAGGTGCCCCACGGAAGCTCTTGATCCCCCAGTGGCCTTGGTGGCCCATAGAACCTCTGGGACACCTCAGGAAGCTCAGATCCCGAAGAAGAATGTGCCCCAACATCTTCTATAGCCAGACGCCTAATCCGATGTGTCTGCTGTGGACGTGGGGAGCGTGGACTGGCGAGAGCCCATGGGGCGCTACCGTGCGTTCTGACCACGAGAGGCCTGGGGGGCGCGTCGGGGAGACTTACCCGGGGACGTGCCCCGGGGACGTGCCAGGGGACGCATGTCGAAGACGACTACGGCGAGTCACCGGCGCCCCCCTGCCTGTTTGGAAGAGCCAGTGTGGCCGAGCGTTGTGGCAGAGCTCGGCCAAGCTATCGGACAACGTGTTCCTCGAGCCGTTGTGGAAGCCCTTCGAAGAACACGTGGGGGGGATATAAGAGGACGAGGAGAAGGAGGAGGAGGAGGAGGAGGAAAAAGGAGGAGGAGGAGGTCTCTTAGGAGCCTCTTGGAGCCCTCTTGTGGCTTCCTAGGAGTTTCGTGGGGGCCTCTTGGAGGCCTCGGGGGCGTCCTTAGGCCTCTTGGGGGCATTTGGAGGTCTCTTGGGAGGCTAATTGGCCGTCTCTGGGCGTTCCTGGCCCGTCTGACAGCATCAGAAGCCGTCTTGCAGGCCTCGCTGGGCCGACTTGGGGCCCCCTTGGGGTGCCTCAGGGCAGTCTTGGAGACCATCTTGGACGTCTTGGAGGTCTGCTGGACTGACTTGGGGCCCTCTTGTGGCCGTTTTGAGGGACTCTTGGACCGTCAGCGAACGGGGTGATCTCGGAGGCCTCTTTGGCGCTCTGGGGGCTATGTTGGTGGCCTCGGCCGTCTTGGGCCATCTGAAAGCCGAAAATGAGCAAACGCCAGAATCCTTGAAAAACCGATGAGGAAATCATTGAGTTTGGCATCTTCGGGCCGTCCTGGAGGTCCTCTTGGAGGCATTTTGGAAGATCTTGAGGCCATCTTCGGGGCATATCGGCCCGTCTTGGAGACATCTTGCGACCGTCTTGGAGGCCATATTGGGCCATCTGAACCGTTTTAGAGGCATCTCGGCTGCAGTCTTGGGCCATCTTGGCCGTCTTGCTATTATTGCGAAGGCCTTACGGCCGGTGCCGACGACCCTGAAAAGAGATGACGAGGACGACGACGACGGCGGCGGCTGCGACGATGAAGAAGTTGACGCTCTGGAGCCCTTCGTGGGCCCTCTGGGGAGCCTCCTGGGCCCCGTTGGGGTTTCTTGGGGAACTTTTCGGGAAGATCCGTGGTCACTTGGAGCCGCTTTGGAGCGGATCTGAGGCCTCCTGGAGTCATGTAGGACAGTACGCAGCACACCACCACAGCAGATAAAGAGTCAGAAGGGTGCCTCCAGGGGAGGTTCCGGGCGGAGGAAAGGGGGGTCCCTCTGTCCACAGGGGGAACAGGGGGGAGTTTCCTTTGTTTCCCTTTTCCACGTGGGGAGGGGGAGGGGTCCTGAGTTCCCCTTGTCCACTCTACCGGGGGAACACACCTCCCCCCAGTCCACAGGGGGAGGGGGGGGGCGGCTGGGGGGGAGGTTGGATGGGGCGTCAGACCCTGTCCACAGGGAGGACCCACCCCACCTGTCTTCCTTGTCCACGGAAGGAACCTGGGAGGGCGGGGGGGGGGTCTGAGCAGGGGCATCAATTCGACTGAACTTCGACACTCCCTTGGGACTGACAACGACGACGACGACGACAGCGTCATCCACACGCCGACAGGGTCGGCGGATTTTTTATGTACGTTGAGGCTTTTCCGCGGCTCTCTGGGTGGCTGGCTGGTTGGGCCGAAGGCCCATTGGGAATCTTCAAGAATGACCGACAACTACCTAAAAGCTAGCACGCCAGGCACCCCTCTGCAAGCAGAAGGGAGCGGCGGATCGAATACGCATCCGGCGATTCACCACCGCCCCCTGCCTTCTGGGATACGCCTATGTTGGCTAAACCTTTAGGCACAGTGTGGCCACGCTATTGGACCTTGCGTTGCCCCAGCCTTTGTGGAAGCCATTCGGGGAACATGTGATTTTGGAAGAAGAGAAAAACAAGGAGAAGGCGGACAAAAAAGGAGGAGGATGAGAAGGATGATGAGACCTCTTGGGAGCTTCTTGGGTCTTTCTTGGGGCCGCCTGGAAGCTTTCTGAGGGCCTCTTGGAGGCCTCACGGGGGTATCCTTGGGCCTCTTGGGGACCTCCTTGGGCCTCTTCGGGGGCCTTCGGAAGCTTCTTGGCGGTCTCGTTGACAGTCTTACGGGCCATCATGGAGGCCTCTTGGGCGATCTTGGGGTAATGTTTGGGGCATCTTGGGCCGTCTTGGGCCGTCGGAAAGCCGCTTTCTAGCAAATGCCAAAATCAGTTTGGCTTTTTCGGGCCTTCTTGGATGACCTCTTGGAGGCCGTCTTAGGGGCATCATGGGCGCTTCGTTGGTCGTCCTGGGCTCTCTTGAACCTTCTTGGGGGGTCTTAGGGGCATTTTTGGGCAGTCTTGGAAGCCATCTTGGGCCATCTTGGCCGCCTTGGAGGCGATGTGGGCCACGCGCTCTAGATTTTCGAAGGCTTTTCGGGTGGCCGTCGGGCTGGGCCAAGACCGCACGGGGAGTTCTCCTCAGAAAAGACACACAAGCGTGCCTGACATGTGGCACGCCGTGCACCCCTGCATCCGGGGGTACAGTTCTGACGCCTCTTGGGGGCCTCCTGGGGGGCCTCCTGGGAGCCTCCGGGGGGCCTCCGGGGGGGCGCCTCTTGGGGGACTCTTTGGGGCCTCTTGGGGGGGGCCGCTTGGGGGGGCCTCTTGGGGGACTCTTTGGGGCTTCTGGGGCCCGCCTTGCCCGGTGACGTGCCAGCACGGGGACGTGACAAGAGAGAGAGAGAGAGACGCTTCTGGGACGCGCCTGCGCCCGGTGGCCTGGCACAGGGATACGTGTGCTTCGGGGGCGTGTGCGGGGACGTGTCTCCGAAGGAGAATGTCGGCGGCGAGCCCAGGGGGGGCGGGGGGGGCGAATGCAGAGGGGGCGGGCCTTCTCAGAAGGCTCGGACGGCATCGGGCCTTCTGAGAAGTTGTTCAGCCTTCCCCGAAGACAGCGACGGCTTCCCAGCTTCTGAGAAGCCCCACCGCCTTCCGAGCAGGCCTGCCATCTCTCACTTTCCCCCTAGGGGCGTCGCCGACAGAACCTGCATCAGCATAAACGTTCGGAGCGCAGAGCGGATTTCTTGGATCGGCTCTCGGGCCCCCTGGCGGCGCCTCTGGCGCCGCCCGTGGCGCGCTCCGCGCGCCCGGGAGGGGGGCACAGCGCCGATCCAAGACATTCGCGCGGAGCTCCGAAAGTGTACATGCTGATGCCGTTGCTCGTTCCCCTATCGTGTCAGGGGACTGGCGCGTACCGTCTGGCCCAGCTCGCGCCTGGCTCCGCAGGTGAGCCTGATGGAACGGGCGAAGTCCGCGTCGCGGTGTCGACCGCCATCATCGTGGTGGAGAACTGGCTGCAGCACGCCCGGGCTGCCACATGGGTGGCACGCAAGGTCTCCGGCAAGGGCGCCGCCAGGCGCGGGTCCCCCGCGCGCCCTTGTTAGGGGGCCACATGCGAACCCTACCCCTGCCCCCCACGATTTCTGAAGGGGAGGGTGGGGTTCACTTCGTTCGGGACCTCCCGAGCGAAGTGAACCCCACCCTCCCCCTCAGAAACCGTGGGCGGTACGGGTAGGGTTCGCATGTGGCCCTCTACTTGTGCTCCTTGTCTGCCAGCAGCTCCCGCCCTCGCGCAGTGCCACAAGTCACGGCGGAGAGTGTTTTTTTGCGATGTTCGGCCTTTGGGGCCCTGGGCCCCAAAGGCCCGGCCAGGCCCAGGGACGGTCAAAATCGGTCCTTGGCGCACGCAGGCCGAGATCTCCCGGGGGGTCCGGGGGGTGGAGACAGATCACGACGTTGGGGAGACCCAGCACATCGTGCTTGCACTTGTAGAGTACCGTTTTTTAATACATGCTCATGCTCCGCGTGCGGATCATGTATTGAACATGCAGGGATTTAGTATCAAAAACAACGATGAGTTCATGCATAAATTCATTCATGAATTAATCATGTATTCAAAATCATATATATATATATATACACATGACGGCGCACCGGGTCCGGGGGCCCGGGGCCGGGACCCCGACCACAAATGTGGGCCCCTGGGGGCCCGGAGGCTCGTCGGACCGCTGGACGCCGTCCAAGATCGTTCGCAGGCGGCTTCGGAACGCGCTCCGATGGCTCCAGATGCCTTCCACGCACGAGTGGCCCAGGACGGCCCCAAGACGGCCCAAGAGAGCCCCAAGACGAGTTCGAGAGGGGTCCCAGACGGAGAAAGCCAACCTCGAATTCCGAGCTTCCGGCCCAAGAGGCTCCAGGAGGCGCCAAAATGCCGCCAAGAGGCGCCAAAAGGCTCCCAAAAGCACCCCAAGACGTTCCGAGAGGCACCCCAAGAGAGGTCCAAGAAGCAAAAATGGTCCCATTCCTATGGGAAAACGTATACTTTTCGCATGGTCGCCTGTTGGGTTTTCACCGCGTCCAACACGTCCGAAGAGGCTCCCAAGACGGCCTAGGTGGCCCCCAAGAGAGTTCCAAGACGGTTCACGAGGCGCCCAGGACGGCAAAATTGGACTCCAAAATGGCCTAAGAGAGCCCCAAGGCGTGCCCGAGAGGGGTCCCAGAGGGAGAAAGCCATTGTAGAATTCCGAGCTTTCGGCCCCAAGAGGCTCCAGGAGGCGCCAAGAGAGCTCCAAGAAGCCCCCACGAGAGACCCAGGACGCCCCAAGAGGCTCCAAAGGCGGCCCAAGAGAGCCCCAAGATGGGCCCGAGAGGGGTTCCACGCAAGTTGTTATTGTATCGCTCGGGAAAGGACGAGGATGAGGAGGAAGACGAGGAGGAGGAGGAGGAGGAGGAGGAGGAGGAGGAGGAGGAGGAGGAGGAGGAGGAGGAGGAGGAGGAGGAGGAGGAGGAGGAGAGGGAGGAGGAGGAAGAGGAGGAGCAGGAGAAGGAGGAGGAGGGGTGCTGTGGACGCCGCCGAAGCTTCCCGGGGAGTCCTGGGGGCACCTTGGTCTAGGGCCCCTCGTCGCAGCGGCTGGGCGCAGCCCGAAAGATTGGCTTCGACTTCGCGTCCCCAATTTCTTCTCACAACGATTCCTGGGTCTGTGACTCGACAGAACCTAAGAGCGCGCGAAGCGCGCGCGTGGTTCTAGTATATATATATATATATATATTAAAAACTGCCCTGTAGGTGATAGTTGAGCGATAGAGGAGGAGCAACTAGAATAAAAAAGGTCACGACGTCGGGGGGAGGAGGGGCCCACATCTCCGACGACGTGGTGTCTTCAATCCGGGCGTCTCTCCTGGGCTTCCGCGCTCCGGGGCCGTCCTCGGGTTCCGCGGGCAGGGCTCCAGGGCGCCAAGGCCGCGCCCCGGAGGAGCGGTCGGGACCTCCAGGGCCGGGGATTGAAAGCAATTCGGGGGGTCGGGAGCCTCGAGACGGGGGTCAATGCGCAAACGGGGGTCAGCCAGGGCACCAGATCCTCCAGGATCCTGCGAAGACCCCCTCTGGCTGACCCGGGTCAGCGAGCCGCTCGTGGCCGCGAGGCGGCCGCGCCTATGGGCTGGCCCGGGTTTGCGAAGACCTGCGTCGCAGTTTTGCTTTCCTGCATTGTAGTTTTTGGTTTCCTGCTGACCCGGGTCTGGATTGACCCGGGTCAGAAGATCCCCGAGGGGGGACGTCAGGGGGGCGGGCTCTTGATTGGGGCACGGCCCGACAGTCGTGCCTCCACCCCGATCCGCTCCCGTCGTCCATGCTGTTCTCCCCGCTGCAGCAGCCCACCAAGTGAGCAACCGGCCAGCCAGCGAGTGCCCCGCGCGAGCTTGCTTTTTTCCCCCGACGGGACCACTGTCGGCGGCGAGCCCAGGGGGGAAGTGTGAAAGGGCGGGCCTCTTAGTTCTTCCGTGCGTGAATGTGAGCAGTATTCTCTTGTGCTTTAGTCAAGTGGTTTGTTTTCCGATCCCGTCCCCAGAAGCGCCAGTAGGCCCCAGAAAGCCCCAGGATGCTCCAGGAGGCCCCGAGAAGCCCCAGGAGGCCCCAGGAGCGGCTCCAGTCCGATGTGTTTTACGTATGTTCCTACAGATCAGGCCTTCCCTGGGGCACGAATCCTTGGTGCTTTAGGTCGGTTCCTATATATTGTCCTTATCTTGTGGCTCCAATCCTGAGTGTTTACATATGTTCCTATATATTGGGCGTCCTTTGGGGCACGAATCCTTGGTGTTTTACGTATGTTCCTATAGATTGTCTTTCTCGAGTTCCAATCCGAAGTGTTTTACATGTGTTCATATATATATATATATATATATATATATATAGATATAGATACACAGACACACATATGTATACATATATATATATATATGGCCTTTCCTGGAGCACGAATCTTCTCCAGGAGGCTCCAGGAAGACCCAGGAAGGCCCAGGAGGCCCCAGGAGGCCCCAGAAGGTCCCAGGAGACTTCAGGAAGCCACATGAAGCCCCAAGAGGTACCAGGAGGCTCCAAGGGGCCCGAGGAAGCCCCAGGAAACGCCAGGAAGGACCCAGGGAGGCTCAGTCCCCAGGAAGCGCCAGGAAGGCCCAATGAAGCCCCAAGAGGCATCAGGAAGCCCCAGGAGGCTCAAGGAGGAGCAGTCCCCAAGATGGCCCAGGAGGCCCCAAGAGTTCCCAAGAGGCCCCAGGAGGCTCCAGGAAGCCGCAGGAGGCCCCAGGAGTTCCAAGAGGCTCCAGGAAGCCCCAGGGAGTCCCAGAAAGGCCCCAAGAGGCCCCTGGAGGCCCCAGGAGGCCCCAGGAGCCCCAGGAGACTTGAGGAAGCCCAAGGAAGCCCCAAGAGACCCCAGGAGGATTCAGTCATGCTCAGTCATGCTCAGGCCACTGACGTGCAGATACTCTCACCCTAAGCATAGCCATGCGCAGGCTCACGCGCACAGACTCGCTCGTACTACTGGGGCTTAACACGCTCAAAATCATTCACAGTTAGACTCTCTCCCAGGCTGTCAATATCCAAGTTCATTTATGTTCGAAGTTTATTGCGCCTAGACACTCACGGCGGAAATGCCTATGCAAAGAGATGCACATATGGGGAGCTCCATGCAGTGAATAATTTGTATTTTTTGAGGGGCACTGTTTTGATTATTTTCTGTCGTGCAAAATTCGCCTGTAGGAGGACACGCCCGGCCTAGCCCGAGGAGGTCTGGGCAAGGCAGTCAAGCATCCATCCCTGGACCTAATCTGGCGCGTCCTTGCCAGAAGTTCGAAGCCCCCCAGCCGCTCATGTGCATGCTTGCCTCGTTACGGTCGTTGCTCAGATGCATGCCTGTCTCGTCGTTCCCATGCACGGCCGCTTGTTCTCCAAGAGCACATGATTCAACAAGGGCTCCCTCGAGGGCGCGAAGTTATTCGCGCTTCGCGGTCCTCGTTCCTTCTCCCCCTCCTCCTCGTCCTCCTATTCTCCCTTTGGGAGGGCGGCGCGAGAGCGCGAAGTTATTCGCGCTTCGCGCTTCGCGGAGCGCGAAGCGCGAAGTTGGGAGCCCTAGATGATTCAAGAGTCCACGGCCTATCCCACCAGGTCGTAGGTAGGCCCAGGCGGCTGTCCGCAGTGGTGCCAGGTCGTGTGGACGAGGAGCCCCCCCCCCTATAGGTGCCCAGAAGGGGCGAAACGCGTCTTGTGCTCGGCCCCCTTGCCCCCGTCTGGCCCCCCACTGCCCTCCCTTCGAGGCCGTGCCCGGTGAGCATCGTGCTGGCCCACGGCCGCGACGACCTCCGCGCCGCGATCCTCGCCGCCGCCGGGGGCCCGCAGGGCCCGGCGGCGCCCCCGAAGGCTCCGCCGCGAGCCACGAGCCACGAGCTGCGGCCGGCGACGGCTGCGACGACGACGACAACGACGACGACGACGACGACGACGACGACCGAACGACGACGACGACGACGACGACGACGACGACGACGACGACGACGACGACGCAGATGACGACGACCGAGCGTCGACGACGACGACGGCTGCGCCGCGCAGGCGTCACGACGGGAGGCTCTTTTTCCAAAGGTTCTTTATGCCCGTCTTTTTTTTCCTGAGGCCTCCGTCTGTTCTTCGGGAAGTCTTCTGGCCTCGGGATGCCTTCCAGCAGCTGCGCCCCGTCGAGGGCGTTCCAGGGGTGCCCTTGGATCGTCTGGAGACTGGCGGCCGGAGGCCGGAGTTCGGACCCCGAGAGCCCAACTCTCCGGCATCTGCTGCAGCAAGCGCTTCAGGAGGGGGAAAAAACACACAGACACAATTAGCCTGGCGAAGGACCCAACCATATGCAGTTGAGAGTACCGCAATTGTGAATATCTTCTTCGGTGGCGCTCCCTATGGGGCCACGAGCCGTATGAGGGGTGTGCCGAAATGCGTGGCAGTGTACACAACACGAACGAAGACGATAGGTCCGAATATGAAAGCTTGAGCGCGTGCGAGTCGGATCGCGAGCGAGTCTGATTATGAATGAATCTGCGCGCGATTGATTCTATTCGCATGAATGCGTGCATGGATACGCCCAGTGTAAATGTATGTATACGACTGTGAACAGTTTGGGTCTGCGTGACTCTCGGTACTCGTGACTCTGAGCGTCGCCTCTGCAGGGGGCTTCCCTGGGAACCCCGACGGCAGCGCCCGCGCGCCGCGACGCCCATGTCGGCACGCCACACACCTGGTGTGCGGGACGCATGCGGACGGCAGCACTGGGGCCTTCGGTGGAGCTCCCTGTGGGGCCACGAAACGTGTGAGGGGTGTGCCGAAATGGGTGTGCGGGACGCATGCGGACGGCAGCCATGGGGCCTTCGGTGGAGCTCCCTATGGGGCCACGAAACGTGTGAGGGGTGTGCCGAAATGGGTGTGCGGGACGCATGCGGACGGCAGCACTGGGGCCTTCGGTGGAGCTCCCTGTGGGGCCACGAAACGTGTGAGGGGTGTGCCGAAATGGGTGTGCGGGACGCATGCGGACGGCAGCACTGGGGCCTTCGGTGGAGCTCCCTATGGGGCCACGAAACGTGTGAGGGGTGTGCCGAAATGGGTGTGCGGGACGCATGCGGACGGCAGCATGGGGCCTTCGGTGGAGCTCCCTGTGGGGCCACGAACGTGTGAGGGGTGTGCCGAAATGGGTGTGCGGGACGCATGCGGACGGCAGCACTGGGGCCTTCGGTGGAGCTCCCTGTGGGGCCACGAAACGTGTGAGGGGTGTGCCGAAATGGGTGTGCGGGACGCATGCGGACGGCAGCACTGGGGCCTTCGGTGGAGCTCCCTGTGGGGCCACGAAACGTGTGAGGGGTGTGCCGAAATGGGTGTGCGGGACGCATGCGGACGGCAGCCATGGGGCCTTCGGTGGAGCTCCCTATGGGGCCACGAAACGTGTGAGGGGTGTGCCGAAATGGGTGTGCGGGACGCATGCGGACGGCAGCACTGGGGCCTTCGGTGGAGCTCCCTGTGGGGCCACGAAACGTGTGAGGGGTGTGCCGAAATGGGTGTGCGGGACGCATGCGGACGGCAGCCATGGGGCCTTCGGTGGAGCTCCCTATGGGGCCACGAAACGTGTGAGGGGTGTGCCGAAATGGGTGTGCGGGACGCATGCGGACGGCAGCACTGGGGCCTTCGGTGGAGCTCCCTGTGGGGCCACGAAACGTGTGAGGGGTGTGCCGAAAACGTGTGTGGGAGCCACGACGCCGTGTGCCGGGGTGTGGGGCCACGAAACGTGTGAGGGGTGTGCCGAAATGGGCGCGGGACGCATGCGGACGGCAGCATTGGGGCCTTCGGTGGAGCTCCCTGTGGGGCCACGAAACGTGTGAGGGGTGTGCCGAAATGGGTGTGCGGGTGCATGCGGACGGCAGCCATGGGGCCTTCGGTGGAGCTCCCGGAAACGTGCGAAATGGGTGTGCGGGACGCATGCGGACGGCAGCCTTCGGTGGAGCTCCCTGTGGGGCCACGAAACGTGTGAGGGGTGTGCCGAAATGGGTGTGCGGGACGCATGCGGACGGCAGCCATGGGGCCTTCGGTGGAGCTCCCTATGGGGCCACGAAACGTGTGAGGGGTGTGCCGAAATGGGTGCGGGACGCATGCGGACGGCAGCATGGGGCCTTCGGTGGAGCTCCCTATGGGGCCACGAAACGTGTGAGGGGTGTGCCGAAATGGGTGTGCGGGACGCATGCGGACGGCAGCCATGGGGCCTTCGGTGGAGCTCCCTATGGGGCCACGAAACGTGTGAGGGGTGTGCCGAAATGGGTGTGCGGGACGCATGCGGACGGCAGCACTGGGGCCTTCGGTGGAGCTCCCTGTGGGGCCACGAAACGTGTGAGGGGTGTGCCGAAATGGGTGTGCGGGACGCATGCGGACGGCAGCCATGGGGCCTTCGGTGGAGCTCCCTATGGGGCCACGAAACGTGTGAGGGGTGAGCCGAAATGGGTGTGCGGGACGCATGCGGACGGCAGCACTGGGGCCTTCGGTGGAGCTCCCTATGGGGCCACGAAACGTGTGAGGGGTGTGCCGAGAGCAGAGGCAAGGAGGGGGAGGAGGGAGGAGGGCGAGGAGGGGGAGGAGGAGAGGAGGAGGAGACGCGGGGCACCGTCTCTTCAAAACGAGGACCCAACACCACAGGATGGTTGGGAATGAATCGTCGATTCCTAAGAAAGTAGTGGAAAATATGGGGATTGGGGGGGAAGACAAAAACCCAGAACATATGGGAAAATATGGGGAAATCTTTTTATTTGTGTGTATTTATTTGTGTCCAGGGGCCCCTTCACTGACCCCGAAAGCCCAACTTTCGGGCATTCTGCTGCTGCAAGTGTTTTTGACCAGGCGCTTTCGCTCAGAGTCGGGCTTTCGGACCATCGGCAGTCGTTCGCCCAGTTTCGGCAGGTGGATCCGGCTCGAGAAACACCGCAGGACGATGGTGTCCAGGGCTCGAGTCGTGATGTTTCGCGATGTTGCACTGTGATCCTTACGTGGGATCTCAGGGTCTTGGAGTCGTGAAAGAAAACACGACGGGATGTTCTTGGCAATTCTCTGCCTCCGGATACCTTTCCCGGGCCTTCGGGGCCGCCAACAAAACGATTGTAAGAACTTGGGCCAGTCCCAGGGACCCAAGGGATTCAGACCTCTGGGGAGCCACGCTGCGAAACAAAAACACGAAGTTGTGCTTCTGGGTCCCCCTCCTCCTCCTCCTCTGCAGGAGGAGGATGAGGAGGAGGGGCAGTAGTCGGAGCAGTGAGGAGGAGGAGGAGGAGGAGGAGGAGGAGGCGGAGGAGGAGGAGGAGGAGGTGGAATCGTGAGGGGACTCGGGGGGGCCGACGACGACGACGACGACGACGACAGTCGACGACGACGACGACGACGACGACGACGACGACGACGACGACGACAGTCGACGACGACGACGACGACGACGACGACGACGACGACGACGACGACGAGGACAGTCGACTCCGCAGCGCGACTTCCGCGCCTTCCGCACCCTCCGCGTGCAGGGTGCCGCCGCGGTGCGGCCGCGGCGGCAGGCCCGCGGCAGCGCGTGCCGCCTGCCGCGCGGAGCGTGCGGAAGGTGCAGGTCGAGGGACTGCTGGACTCCTCCTCCTCCTCCTTCTCCTCCTCCTCCTTCTCCTCCTCCTCCTCCTCCTCCTTCTCCTCCTCCTCCTCCCCCTTCCTCCCCCTTCCTCCCCCTTCCTCCCATCTCCTCCCCATCATCATCCCCCCTCGCCATCCCCTTCCTCCAGCTCCGAGCCCGCTCGTGGCCGCGAGGCGGCCGCGCACATTGGCCGACCCGGGTTTGCGAAGACCTGGGTTGCAGCTTTTTTTTCCTGCATTGCAGTTGTTTGGTTTCCTGCTGACCCAGGTCTGGATTGACCCGGGTCAGAAGATACCCGGGACTGCGGCATCGCTGATGCCTCTTGGATTCATTATTATGGTCTGGCCCCTCCTCCTTGTCGTCCCCTCTCCTCCCTCCACGCTCCCCTCTCCTCCCTCCCGCGCCCACGCGCACGGGGCAGGAGGAGGAGGACGAGGACGAGGAGGAGGAGGACGAGGAGAAGGAGGAGGAGGAGGACGAGGAGTTTCGGTTTCGGCTTCGGCAAAAAGGAGCGGTGTTCAAGAGCGAGCCCGGGCGTAGGCACATTAAACATTCACAGGGAAAGTCATGCCCGACGTATACGGGACAGAGCCTCAAGCCGTGTGGCAGCGGTTGGTTTACAGTCGCACGTGATGTTACGTGGCTGTCTATACAGAAGGCGCCACACGTGAAACAGCACGGCACTCCCCGATTGACATGTCAGGAATGGCGAGAGGGGGGAGGGAGTGGAGGCTCAGAGGAGGGGGGAGGGAGCCGGGATGGAAGAGCAGCCTCCCGCACTCCCCACCAAGCCACCCCCCCGCGTCCCCGAGCTCCCCCCCCCGCGCGAAAGCGCGGGTGGGGGGAGGCGGGGCGGAGCGGAGCGGCGTGGAGGCGGGACCCAGAGAGGGAGAGCGGCACACGCGGGACTCCGAGGGCCGAGCTCGTCACCCCGTGGTGAGGTTCCGTGGCCGCGGGCTCCTCCTCCTCCTCCCCTCCGGAAGAAACAACAAATCATTGAACTCAGAGGAGGAGGAGGAGGAGGAGGAGGAGGAGGAGGAGGAGGCGGAGGAGGAGGAGGAGGAGGAGGAGGAGGAGGAGGAGAGAGGGGGAGGGAGCGCCGTTTACGGTCCCGCCTGCTCCCCACCCACCCCCCGTGGGCGTTGGAGGCGCTCGCCCGCGCCGAGCTCGGCGCCCCCGAGCACGCCAAGGGCGCCGACTCCGCGGCCCCCGGCGCGGCGGAGGCGGCGCACGCCCGCTTCTGGTGCTCTGCACCTCCTGGCTGTTGCTGGGGGCCGCTCCTCCTCCTCCTCCTCCTCCTCCTCCTCCTCCACCTCCACCTCCTCCTCCCCACCTCCTCCTCCTCCTCCTCCTCCTCCTCCATTCCTCCCCCTGCATCCCTCCTCCTCTGTCGCTCCTCCTCCTCCTCCCCCTTCTCCACCTCTTTCTCCTCCTCCTCCACCTCCTCCTCCTCTCCACCTCCCCCTCCTCCTCCCCCTCCTCCTCCTCATCATCTTCATCCTCCCTCTTTGTCAAAGATGTCCTTTTCATCCACGTCTCTCAGATGGAGTCCGAGCAGATGAGGGTCGCAGGATTTCGCCGCATCGCCGACGCATGGGCGATGCAGCTCGATGTGGAGCCCCACGACTTTCTCCAGGCCAACGGCGCCAATGCATCGCCGACGTCGTCGCTCCTACCCCATCTACTCGGACCCTACTGGGAGGCCTCCCGTTCAATCGAACCTATACAGGGTAGGCACTTTCCCAAGTTCGTGCTTCGGTGCGGATCGTCTGCGCGCCTCGTCTCCGTCGTCGTCGGCCGTCGTCATGGTCGTGGTGCGTGTTGCTCTGCTTGGGTCCTGCTGTAGTGACCACCACCACCACCCCTCCTGCTCTTCCGCCTCCTTTGTTTCTCCCGCACCTTCTTCGGGCGTTGGCCCTGAGTCTCCCATTTGGCTTCTCGGCCAAATCCATCCCTTAGAAATCCCAGGTTCAGCATGTTTTCCAGATCGCTGGTTTCATCTCCTGGCGATGACGGAAATCCCACGCGCTCTTCTTCCGCCAGTGCATCTTTCCTTCGCGTTCCGTCCCGCCGTCACATGGATTCCATGCGTTTGTGCCGAACGCCGGCTCTGGTGGGCGTGAAATGCAAGAGCAGCGCAATCTCGCATTTCAAGTGGGATCCCTCTTCAGCCAGGACGATGATTTCACAAGCCTCTTGCTGAGCAGCATCACCATCCAGATCATCAGCTTCGAGAGTGATGTTGGGTGCACTGTCCGTGGCATTGCTCCTATTCGTGCCCGTTCTTTTCTGGTCATGTAGCCAAGTCGGGATTGCTTAAGGCCCGGAAGTCTTCGCACATGCGTCCCAAATTAACCTACCGTATTCGCGCCATGCTGCTCACTATTCCGGGTGGCATTTTGCAACCCACTCCATTGCTGCTGCCTCCGTCTTATGGTGACGGTTCTTCGTGCACATTGTTGCTTGCAACACATGTGCAGGTTTGACGGTTTCGCGTCAGCTTCACGCGTCATGATGTCGTTTTCCATCCAGCGGTATTTGTCTACATTCGCCAGCCTTAGGTATCGAAGACGCCTACGGCGAATCACCGCCGCCCCCTGCCTTTTGGGAAGTGGCTCTGTGGCTCAACGTTGGGCCCCAGCTTGGCCAAGCTATCGGACTATGTGTTCCTCCTGCCGCTCTGGAAACTCTTGGGGAAACAGTCTGGGGAGGAGGAGAGCGAGGATCAGGAGAGGGAGGACGAGGAGGAGGAAGAGGAGTAGGAGGAGGAGGGCTCTAGGGAGCCTCTTGTGGCCTCCTGGGAGCTTCCTGGGGGCCTCTTAAAAAAGTTTTTAGTGCCTTTGGGGGCTTCTTGGGGGCCTCTCTGGTCGACTTCGGGCCTTCCTGGCCCGTCTGACGCCGTCGGGAGCCGTCTTGGGGGCCTGTTTGGGTCGTTTTGGAGCATAGCAGGGGTTCTTGGATGCCATTTTGGGCGTCTTGGAGGCCTCTACGGCAGTTTTGGGACCCTCTTGGGGCTGTCTTGGGGGCCTTTTGGGCCGTCATGGGGCCATCTTGGAGGCCTCTTCGGCGATCTGGGGGCCCTATTGCGCCGCCTTGAGCCGTCGGAATGCCGCGAAGAAGCAAATGCCAACATCCTTCACAAATTTCAGGGAAACCACTGATTTTGGCCTCTTCGGGCCCTCCTGGAAGACCTCCTGGACGCCTTTTGGGCCGTCTTGGAGGCCACTTGGGGGCCTCTTGGGCCGTCCTGGGCCATCTGGAGGCCATCTTAGGCCGTCTTGGGTGCATTTGGGGCCGTCTTGGAGGCATCTTGGGGCCATCTTGGCCGTCTTGGAGGCCATCTTGGGTGTCTTGGAGGCCTCTTGGGCAGTCTTGGGCGCCTCTTGGGCCGTCATGGGGCTATCTTGGAGGCTTCGTGGGCGATCTTGGGGGCCTCTTGGGCCGTCTTGAGCCGTCGGAACGCCGAAAAGAAGCAAATGCATGTTTTTCAAAAACCTAAGGAAACCAATGATTTTGGCCTCCTCGGGCCTTCCTGGAGGACCTCTTGGAGGCCTCTTGGGCCGTCTTGGAGGTCTCTTGGGGGCTTCTTGGGCCGTCTAACATAGGCCATCTGGAGGCCATCTCAGGCCGTCTTGGGTGCAGCTTGGGCCGTCTTGGGTGCATCTTGGGGCCGTCTTAGCCGTCCTGGAGGCCATCTTGGGTGTTTTGGAGGCCTCTTGGGCAGTCTTGCGGCCCTCTTGGGGGCATCTTGGGTGCATCTTGGGCCGTCATTGGGCCATCTTGGAGACCTCTTGGGCGATCTTGGGGCGATCTTGGGGGCCTCTTGGGCCGTCGGAATGCCGGGAAGAAGCAAATGCCAAAATCTGCCAAACACTGCAGGGAAACTAATGATTTTGGCCTCTTCGGACCCTCCTGGAGGACCTCTTGGAGGCCTCTTGGGTCGTATTGGGCCGTCTTGGAGGCTTCTTGGGCGAACTTGGAGATATCTTGGATTTTCTTGGGCCGTCTTGGACCATCTTTGGCGGACTTGGAGGCCATCCTGGACCATCTTGGAGGCCATCTTGGGCCAACGTGGCCATCTTGGAGGTCATCTGGAGCTGTGTTGGAGGATTTTTGTTCCCGGATTGAGGTTCTTTCCGGGTGGCCGGCGGGACGCGCCAGAGCCCCAGGGGGAGTTCTTTTGGAAAAAGAACCAAAGCCAAAAACGATAGGATTTGGCACGCCAGGCACCCCTCTTGCAAGCAACAGGGGGCGGCGGAGACGCCTACGGCGAATCACCGCCGCCTTCTGCCTTTGTGGAAGCGCCTGTGTGGCCGAACGTTGAGGCCAGACCTGCCAAGCTATCGGACCATGTGTTCCCCGAATCGGTCTGGAAAGCCTTCGGGGAACACGTGGGCATCTTGAAGGTCATCTTGGCCGCCTGCAGGCCATTTTGACTCTTTCGGGCCTTTTTGGAGGACGTCTTGGAGGGCTCGTGGGCCGTCTTGGAGGCCATCTTGAGTGTCTTGGAGGCCTCTTGGGCCGTCTTGGGGGCCTCTTGGGGCCGTCTTGGGCGCCTCTTGGGCCGTTCTGGGGCTATCTTGGAGGCCTTTTGGGCGATCCTTGGGCGATCTTTGGGAGCTCTTGGGCCGTATCGGGCCGTCGGAAGGCCGAAACGAAACAAATGTCAAAATCCTTCAAAAACCTTCGGGAAATCACTGTTTTTGGCTTTTTCTGGCCTTCCTGGAGGCCCTCTTGGAGGCCTCTTGGGCCAGCTGTGAGCCACCTTCGGCCATCTTGGTGGGCTCCTGGCCCGTCTGACGCCGTCGGAAGCCGTTTCGGGGGCCTTTCTGGGCCGACTTGGGGCCCTCTTGGGGTGCTCCAGAGCCGTCTTAGAGGCCATCTTGGGCGTCTTCGAGGCCTCTTGGGCCGTCTTGGCGCCCTCTTGGGGCCGTCTTGGGGGCCTCTTGGGCCGTCATGGGGCCATCTTGGAGGCCTCTTGGGCGATCTCGGGGCGACCTTGGCGGCCTCTGGGGCCGTCTGGGGCCTTCGGAAAGCCGAAAAGGCACAAAGAACAAACGCTTTCAAAACCAAAGGAAAATCAATGATTTTGCCTCTTCGGGCCTTCCTGGAGGACCTCTTGGAGGCCTCTTGGGCCGTCGTGGATGCCTCTTGGAGGCCTTTTGGGCCGTCTTGGGCTATCTTCAGGCTATCTCAGGACGTCTTGGGTACATCTTGGGCCGTCTTGCAGGCATCTTGGGGCCATCTGAGCCATCTTGGAGGCCATCTTGGCCGTCTTGGAGGCATCTTGGCCGTCTTGGAGGCCATCTTAGGGCCGTCTGCGGCAGGAAAGCCGTTTGCAACCGGGTCTTCCGGGTGGCCGGCGGGACGGGCCGGAGCCCCAGGGGGAGTTCTTGCGGAAAAAGAGCCAAAACCAAAACCGATAAGATTTAACATGCCAGGCACCCCTTTGCTACAGCAAAAGGGGGCGGCGGATCGAATGGGCCTTCGGCCCATCCCGCCACCGTGCTTGGGTTGTGGGCATGAAACGTATTAGATGTTCGTTGGGATCTCGTGGGGGGCTTCTCGAGGGCCTCTTGAAGGCAGTTTGGAGGCCTCTTGAAAGATGTTTTGGGACATCTTGGGGCCGTTTGGGGGCATCCTGGGGGCCTCTTGGGGGCCTCTTGGAGCCTCCTGGGCGCCTCTTGGGGCCTCCTGGGCGCCCCTTGGGGCGGAAAGCTCGGATTTTTGATTCGTGTTCCGTCTCTTGGGCTGTCTTTGGGCCCTCTTATCCCGTCTTCGGCGCCTCTCGGGCCGTCTTGGGGCGCTCTTAGGCCGTTTTGAGGCCCTCTTGGAGGCCTCTTGGGCCGTTTTGGGGTCGTTCGGGGGGCCTCTTCGGCCGTCTGAGAACGTCCAAAAGCTAGAAAGTCGAGAACGCCAAAATCCTTCAAAACCTACAGACAATCAATGATTTGTGCCTCTCGGGGTCTTCTTGGGAGGCCTCTCGGGGCGTCTTGGACGACGCCTCTTGGATCGTCTTGGGCCCACCTTGGGCGTCGTGGAGCAATCATTCAGGCGTCTCGGGGCCCCCCTTGGATCGTCTTTGGTGGCCTCTTGGAGCCCTCTTGGCCCATGTTGGGGCCCTCGTGAGCCCCGAAACGTCACGCTGCGAGGCGCGCTGGAGCGCAGGGGGTGCACGCGGGGAGCCTCCTGAAGTTTCGGACACTGGGGCCCGGGCCCTCACAAGATTCTCGGGGCTGGACAGACCTCCTACCCTGACACGTCGATTGAGGAATTGGCCGTTTTCGGTTCGCGAGAGGGCGTCGCGGCCGTCATTTTTGCGGGTCCAGGTCCGTCGGTTTCGGCCCCAGGCCGTTTTCACTAAGGGGAGGTTTACTAAAGGGAGGTTTGTCCACCGCCGAGATTCACTCGTCAGGAGTGAGGACTGAGGCTACAGGGATTCGGGGAAGGGCTTGAGGACACGCCCAAACTCCGTGCCCAGGGGCACGGTGGCGGATTTCAGTGGCCTGCGGCTTGCACCGCCGATCCGGGGCGCTTCCGGTGTTTGAGGGCCGCCGCCGCGCTGCGAGGAGCAAAGAGGTTTGATGCGAGCGCAATCACTGGGGCCCTCGGTGGAGATTCCTATTCCTATGGGGCCACAAAACGTGTAAGGCGTGCGCCAACATTGGTGTGGCGATTCCATGCGAGCGCAGCCGCTGGGGCCCTCGGTGGGGCTCCCCATGGGGCCACGTGTGAGGGGTGCGCCGACGTGGCTGCGGTGGTGCTATGCGAACGCAGCCACTGGGGAGTTTCGAGGTGTTCGGAGGTCTTCGCTGGCTCACAGTTCAGCGCTTTGGCTTCCGAGCAATGCCGACTCAGACCATGTCGAGACGTCTGGGGACCCCGCACTGAAAAAATTACGACGCCGGATTTTGGGGATAAGTCGTCAAGCACGCGGGCCCCGCTGTCGGGAGATTGCGCTCGACGTGGTCGTCATCAGAGCGCTTTTTGCGGACAGCGTCTCTGACCACCCACGGGGCAGACAGCAGCACGGTTGGAGACACCATGTGGACAGCAGAAGTGGCGGTATGACGACAGACGAAAAGTTCTACAGGACATGGCCCCAGACGAAAACAGCGACACACAGCAACGACACACAACAACGACACACAGCACGACACCAGCGACAGGCGGAGAGCACACGACACTACGCGTTCTACGACATCGGCGGCGGGACGCTCACTTTTTTGATCTGCGGGGCGAGAGCGAACCTGTTCCGCTGGAAGCTGAGCGGAACGCGCACAGCTTTCGTTAGCAGAGAGAGGGCGGAAGAAGGCGGGGCCTCACGGCGGCCGGGAGGACGGGACGCTTACATTACCAGCCTGGAACATATCCCTATCGCTATGCTGGGCACCTCCTCATCACGATGCCAATCTTAGGGATTTCCTTATTTTTTGAAGGCCAATCTTAGGGATAGGGATACGTTCGAGGCTGGTAATTACGGGCAGCGGCGCCATCGTGGTGGACCTGACGCGAGCGCAGCTTTGCCAAGTTTTCTGACGGGCTGCGGTCCTCCCTCGCCTGGGCCCACACCGGCGCGGGCGCGCGCGCCTCGCCGCATGCGCCGGGATCGGCGCCCCGCTCTCTCAAGCAGTGGCGAAGCGTCCCGGCTCGCCTATAGCCCCGCCAAACAATGTTCTAAGAACCTTTTGTGGTTCCCACGGAATGTTCTTAGAACATTTCTGGCTGGGGCTGTCTTGTTTTAACACATCGGGCTTCTATTCTAAGAGCATTGTTTTTGATATTAGAACATCTTTGGGTTCTAAGAACATTTCGTGGTATGACTATAGGAATGCCAGGACGGTCGGTCCCTGCTCAAGGACTCACCCATTCCCTCCTTCTCTTGTTGAAGCGGGGCAGAGCCGCGTTCTCTTTCTTTCTCCTCCCTTCCCCCGTCCCCCCTGTTTGCAAAGCTCGGCTCACCACCCGCGCCATGAGGGTCGTCATCATCATCACCAGCAGCATCGCCGCCATCATCGCTTGTGTATCTTCGCCCTCCTCAGGGCTCATTTCGGCTCCCCCCGTTCGATTCGATTCGACTTCGAGCGATCGATTCCGATTCCGGTTCGATTCGATATCGGATCTCGATTTGGATTGCGGCTCATCGGTGTGGGCCTGAGTAGCCTGCCGATTTCCTCCGATTCGACTTTTCCCGACGTGGCTGCCGATTCCTGCCGATCCGATCCATGCCGATCGCCGATCCGACTCCTCGATACGACCCTGGGCCCTCCTGCCTCCCCGCCCTCCCCAGACCCCCGACGTAATGATTTTTTCGTTACGTCGACCCCCGTAGGTCCCGACCCTTTCTCCATGACCGGCTTTGCATCCTGAGTCGTTTTTTGACACTCCCGAGGCCCGGTGAGGGCCCCCCGAGGCCGAAAATTAGGAAAAACCTCCCGTCATGATTTTTTCATTACTCGAGGGGGTCTGGGTCCTCCCCCCCCTCCCGGAGGTGGCCTGTGAGGCCTGACGGGCCGCCAGCGCGACGGCGCCACGGCGCAGCATGGCAGCAGGGCAGCTGACCGGCCGTCGGCCCGCGGGCGGGAGGGGGCCCGTGCCTCGGGGGCGGAAAAGAGGGGGGTGATGACCAGGGGGTGTGGACATCATTCGGGGGAGCGTAAGACCCGGGTTTGCCAGGACTCGGGTTCGCCATCGTTTTTTGACGACCGCGCCTCGGATTTTGACGAGGAGGAGTTCCGTGGGATGTCTGCAGCGGGAGGCCTCGTCAAAATGCAGGCTCGGCCTCGTCATTTTTTGACGACCTCGTCGGGGATTTCCGAGTCCCCTGTACCCAGGTCTGACGTCCCCCTGAATCATGGCGCCGGCCATGACATCTCCGCAGATTCCATGGCGCCTCTTCTCCTTCCACCAGGTCCCAGGCCCCCCCGCTGGGCCGCGCACATGCCGCCGGTCGTGAGTTGCAACCCCCCCCTCTTGGAGACCCCCCTCTATTGGCCGCGCCCGAGAGGGGGCCGGTGACGGGTGGGTAGGGGAACAAAAGGTGACATAAACATAAAAACTCGGGGGTCCGCGCGGATTTCTCGGATCGGCGCTGGACCCCCCTCCCTGGCGCGCGGAGCGCGCCAGTGGCGGCGCCGGAGGCGCCGCCGAGGCGCCGCCGGGGGGCCCCAGCGCCGATCCGAGAAATCCGCGCGGACCTCCGAGTTTTTCTGTTTATGCCACTTTCTGTTCCCCCAGTGGGGCCGCCGCGGCTCTGGCCGTGGAGGGCCGAGGGAGGGCCGGGCGGCGCGGCCGAGGGGCCGCGCCGCGGGGCCACGTGGTGCCGCTGCCAGCAGCCTGGCAGCGCGCTGCTCCCCGGGGGGCACGTGCGCGGACCAGCGCGCCGCTCTCGGCCCCGCCCGTCCTGGGCCCCTTGGCATCGCTCGGACGTGTGCCTTCGTCCGTCGGCGAGGGCCCTCGAGGAGCACCCTCGATCATTTGGCGAGAAAGCCACGCACGAAATCGAAACAATCGGACGTGTGCATTCGTCCGTCGGCGAGGGCCATCGAGGAGCATCCTCGATCATTTGGCGAAAAAGCCACGCACGAAACCGAAGCAAACACAGGGAATGGGCGTCCGAGCGATGGCCAGGCCCAGGATCGGCCCGGCCAAGATGGGGTGAGGTGGTGGGTGGACGTCCCCCGAGCTCTCTCCCTGGGTTGCAGGCATCAGTCAGGTGCACCGTTCCAGAGAGAGCCTGTCGGACATCGCCCGCCCTGGCGCTCTCCCGCGGGGTGCCAGGAATAGTTCAGCGCGATGAGCCTGTACACCACGCCAATCAGGCGATGCCCTCCACCTGTGACGATCGCACGTCCTGGTTCCAAGCTGTTTGAGGTGTGCTGCGACCGCTGCAAATATTCAATTCATCTTGTGGAGTCACAAGCTGGTGTTGAACTGACGGCAGTGTCTGATTGGCGTGGTTGGAGTGCCAATGACAATATTAGTGATTGAAGTAGACTTTGAGCTATTCGTCAGTCCAGGGTCAACTCACGATGGAGGGATGACATCGACGGGAATAGATCGTTCCCGAGTAAAAGTCGATGAGGCGGCGTGCATGTTCGAAAGTCAACCTCTGGTCAGCACACCTTGATCCCTCTCCTGGAGGGTGGGCGAGTGCACGTTCCATCGCCAGGCGGGCACCGCTTGCTTTTTTTGGTGGAGGGTGGCATTTTCGGGACACGCGGTCCGAATGCCACATGCGCTCGCGCGGATACTCGCGCGGCCGTCTTCCATGCCGAGGGACGATCTGTGGGTTTGAGGCCACCCTCCGCCCTTTTGAGCATCGCCCACCTCTCTTCCTTTTGCCGGCGCTGCTATAGCCGGCGCCGCCGCAGCTCCCAGCTGCGTGGCCGCTGCGCGCGTCTCCCCTCTTGCTTGCCTATGGGCAGACGTGGGGAGCGGCCAATGCCGGGGGCACGTGCAGGGCGATCTCGCTTTCCAGGACGTGCAGTATGTCGGGCCTGTCCCCCTACAGGGGGACTTTCGACGAAAAATAAAAGATACCCCCAAACATACCCCAAGAAGGTCAGAAACTACCAAAAAAATAGTCCCCTGACTACTTTTGGATTATTTTTTGACCATTTGGGTTTTTTATTTTTCGTCGAAGATCCCCCCGTAGGGGGACAGGCCCGACTTAAGACGTGCAGCCTGTCCCAGACTCTCAGCACGTCGAAGATCGTGTCCGCGGTTCTCCCGGGCGCCTGACCTCGAGTAGCAGGAGTAGTATGTGACAGAAGAGCGTGCGAACACGTGCCCGAAATTGTCGCAGAAAGCACCGTGTGACCCAAGTGGAGCATGTGTTGGTACAATGAACGTCGTGTCCGTTTCGACCCGTGCTGAAAAAGTGTCCCTCCCGGGATGAGACAGAGAGGCCCTTGGGCCCACGCCACCCACACAAAGGCACGGCGTCGGAAGGTTGGGTTTCCTCTTCGTGTTTCTCTTTCCTCTCCGCCTCCTCATCCTTCCCTCTTTCGATCCTCCTTTCCCTCTTCTCCCCCGCCTCCTACACCTTCACGCCTCCTGCATCCCTCCGCCTCGTCCTTCTCTTCTGCACCCCTCCTCCTCGTCCTCCTCCTCCTTCTCCGCCTCCTCCTCCTCCTCCTCCCACTGCTCCTCGACATCCTTGTTTTCCTCCGCCTCCTCCCACTTCTCCTTATCCTGCTCAGCCTTCTCCTCAGGAGGGGGCGTTGGAGGAGCAGAGGTCGGAGCGTCCGCCGGAGTGCCGCGGATCCCGCGGTCTTGGCCGCTCCATGTTGACGCGCTCTTTGCCCCTTGCCTCGCCTGGCCCTGGCCGATGCTCAGCGCGAGGAGAGGATCGATGATGACGAGGGGGAGGAGGGGGAGGAGGGGGAGGATAGGATAAGGAGGAGGAGGAGGAGAGGATAGGAGGAGGAGGAGGAGGGGGAGGGGGAGGAGGAGGAGGAGGAAGAGAGGATAGATGATGACGACGAGGGGGAGGGGGGAGAACCCGAGCAACCCGCAGGATGCATCGGCGGTGCTGCAGCACACCCTCCCGTCCCAAGGTCCCCCCCCCCCCCGGTGCGGGAGGTGCCCCTTCCCTTGACAGCCGCGCGGTCACCGTGGGTTGCCGGCCGGGCGAGGGGGCTCGTCGCAGAAAGGACCCAGCCGCACCCTTCTGTCGGGCCGGACGAAAGGGGGGGATTGGGAAAAGGGGGGTTCTGAAATTTGCTGCATGCAGCTGGTTTCGGCCTCACCGAGGGGCCCAGTCCTCGATACATAGCCGCCTCCGGCGCCGGGAGGCGCCGGGGAAACCAGCTACGTGAAAATTCTCACCCCCCCCCCTTTGCTATCCCCCCCTTTCGCCCGACCCGATTCTAGCTGTAGGAGATGAATGAAGGTAGAGTCATAGTTCCGCAGGGAGTGTCAAGCCACAGTTCCATTTTGAACAGGATGCGTCCTCCATCCGCGCACGCGTTGCGCATGTCAGGAGTTCTCATCATCCAATGCGAGAAGGTCTCAGCCGAGAGCCACATCTCAAAAAGGAGCCTCACTTCATCCTTGTAGCTGGTGCGAGATTTGGGATGTCGGGCCGAAGACCTTGAGAAGTCTCAAGCAAAATCCTTATTTTCAGAATTAAGCGCCCTCCACCCATCAACTGTCACATATGTTATGAAGAGTGCGCGCGGCATTACGGCGACAACCCAATTTGTAAAGGTGCCCTCCACCAGCGCAATTGTGTGCGCGGCGCCCAGGCACGCGAGAGCAGCATTTTGAAGACCACAGGCCCCTCATCCTTGCAACTGTCGGAGTTTAACGCGTCAGCGAAGCAACATGGAAAGACGTCGCAAGCGAGAGTCCCATGTGTTAACTAAACGACCAGCCTTCATCGGATCTGTTGTGAGAGAAAGTTCTTGGCGCTAAGGCGAAGCCCGAATTTTAAAAACACCCAGCTTCCCATCTCTGTGACTGTGATGTTTGAATCCACACATGTTTGCGCGCTGCTAAGGCAAGAGTCGTTTTGTTGAGAGAACTATTGGCCCTCTATCTTTGTATATGCTGGGAAATGTTTAAAACAAATGAACGCGCAGCTTAGGCGAGAGCCTCATTTTGCAAACCACTTGCGCTCCATCCTTGTAATTGTTGTACCCGTTAGCTTCAATCGAAAGGAGGAGAGGAAGGATCAGAGGAAGGAAAGGAGGAGAGGAAAGATCAGAGGATCTGAGAAGGCAGCGGTGAAAGAGATCTGATTTGCCCGCTTTGCACATACAAACTTCGTCCTCGAATAATGCTCTACACCGGCCGGTGCCAAGCCTGCGTGTCGAGCGCCTCGTCGCGCCGACGGTTACACTGCGAAGAGCGCGATGAGGTACCAAAGCGCATGAAGCAATGCGTAAACGAAGGGCGAATGCTGAACACTGCAATGACAGCGAGCAGCAACTCAATGCTCCCAATTCCCACGCCACACGTGCAGCAGTTCTCGTACACCGTGAGCGTTGCCACGGACCGCGGATGACGCCACGGTTTTGAATGGGAAATGCCAGTTGACAACACAATGAAGTAAGCGCCCCACCAGCAACCAGTGCGAGTACGCCCAAGAGCGCTTGGGTGTGTGCCAGGGACTCGCCCTGATGGCTTCAGTCTTTCCTCTGGATCGGGCGCCGTGCACGATGAACAGGAATAAACAACTCAACGTTCTAAATGTGAATTGACGTACGGACGCCGTAAAGCTTGGTGACTGATACGTGCGCGAAGTGATACCACTGAGACAACGCCACCAAACATTCGCCCACCAAGCTCCTGCTTGTATAAGAGCACTCTTGCCGCTTCAAGCCGGCCTGCAGCTGATGTCGATCCCAGCGCGAGTTATGGGGCAAATTGGGTCCGTAAAAGTCGGGAGGCGTGGTCAGGTTCGAGCCACCCCTTGCACCACCCCCGCTGGTGCGCGCGCGCGCCTGTGCTTGGGGCTCTCAGCCGCGAGGTCTGGAGCGGAGGAGGGGGAAGAGATGATATGACTGATTGCGAAACAAAGTAATACGACCTGGACAATTGACGTGAGCACTCGGCTTGGCCTCGGCCACTGCTGCTCAAGCGTTCTGCTGATTTGCATGAGTTAGCCGTGTAGGGCTGAGTGTGTTTATGTGCAGGGTCGGATAAGCAAGCTCTGGACGGGCCCCTTGCTTAACGGCCAGGAGTTTTTGCATAGTGTGTCGCGCCGCCGGTTCTGGCACGAGCTTTTCCGGGCCTCCCTCTTTCCCGAGCTTCTCCAGCGAAGCAGAGCGACACGCAATCAGCTTGCAGGGCATTGCGTGTCGCAGGGGACGCCGTCAGGGCACCCCTAAGCAAACGGCCCTGGCCGTAAGTGCACAGCCCCATGCAACCCGCACGAGCTGCAGAACGACACGTTCGAACCCTGTTTGATGCAGCATCGCGTGGCTTGACTTGGACCACCCGCCGCCGAGGTGACCGCCCTGACCCTCCGGCAATCTTGACCAGCATGGTATCTCGAGGGCTTCCATCCGGAGCACGGCCCGCACCGCCACGGCGCGAGTCGGCCCCCAGCCGCACTCCCACGGCGACGCCGGCAGACCTGCTCCGTCCACGGACAGCACGGGGGGAGGATGAGGAGGAGGAGGAGGAGGAGGAGGAGGAGGAGGAGGAGGAGGAGGAGGAGGAGGAGGAGGAGGAGGAGGAGGAGGAGGAGGAGGAGGGAGGAGGAGGAGGAGGAGGAGGAGGAGGAGGAGGGAGGAGGAGGAGGAGGGGGAGGAGGAGGAGGAGGAGGAGGAGAGGAGGAGGAGGAGGAGGAGGAGAGGGAGGAGGAGGAGGAGGGAGGAGAGGAGGAGGAGGAGGAGGAGGAGGAGGAGGAGGAGGAGGAGGAGGAGGAGGAGGAGGAGGAGGAGGAGGAGGAGGAGGAGGAGGAGGAGGAGGAGGAGGAGGAG